TTGCTTTTTTATTTCCTACTTTTTATTTTCTGCTTTTAGTAAAATCATTGATTTTCTTGGGGAAAATAATATATATGTTGATTATAAAGAATTTAAGTAAAGCATAAAAACACAAATATTCTCAAATTCTGCCACCTTGAAATATCTGCCATTAGTATTGGGTGAGTATCATTCCAGGAACTGATCTGTGCATATATATGGAAGGAAGGTAGATGGATGGAGTACATGTGAGGTTAGAGAGAAAACATTAAAAAATAAGTAGTTTTAACGGGTTTTTTTAGTTTATTTTTATGAAATACACCATTCCTTGGATTTTATTTATTACAGTTACAAAATTGTGCAACCATCTCCACCATCTATTCCACAACATTTTCATCATCCTGGGAAAGAAACTGTGCTCATCTCTCCCTAGTAATCCCTTTCCCTGGGGAACCACTAGTCTGTGTTCTGTCGCTATGGCTTGGCCTGTTCTGAGCATTTAATATAAATGGACTCTTACAATAGGTGGCCTTTTGTGTCTGGCGGCTTTGAATTTTTTGTTTCTTTTTTGAGATATAGTCTTGCCCTGTCACCCCAGCTGGAGTGCAGTGGTATCGTCACAGCTCACTGCAACCTCCAACTCCTGGGCTCAAGTGACCCTCCTGCCTCAGTCTCTTGAGTAGTTGGGACTATCGGTATGCACTACGATGCCCAGCTAATTTTTCTATTTTTTGTAGAGACAGGATCTCATCATGTTGCTCAGGCTAGTCTTAAACTCCTGGCCTCAAGTAATCCTAACCTCAGCATCCCAAAGTGCTGGGATTATGGGTGTGAGCCACCACACCTGGCCAATATACCACATTTTATATTCACATTTCAACTGATGGACATTTGAGTGGCTTCTACATTTTGGCTATTATGAATAATGCAGCTTTGAATATTTATGTACAAGTTTGTATTTGAGCAAAGTTCTTGGGTCTATATCTGTAGGAATAGAACTTCTGGGATACATAGTAATCCCATGTTTGACATTTTGAGGAATTGTCAAACTGTTCTCCAAATCAGCTGTCCCGTTTCATATTCTGATCTGCAACGTACATGGGTTCCAGTTTCCTCACGTCCTCACCAGCACTTGTTATTGTCTGACTTTTTGATTGCAGCCATCATAGTGGGTATGAAGTATACCTCACTGTTTCCATAATGACTAATCATGGTGAACATATATGTCTTATTTTTATAGTGTACTTTTTTATGAAAGAAAAAATGTGTTGCCATTAGTTTTTTCTGAGTTTAACCAGAAGGGTCCAAGTTATGCTTTAGATTTCAGAAACCTGTGAGCCAGAACAGACTCTGATTCTACTGGTTCTTGGTGTGTTTTCTCTGACAGAACTGGAAGAGGTTCCACTAAGTGATTAGATGACCAGAGGGTGAGGAAGAAGGATGACTGAGTAGGGATGACAGATACACAGAAAGAATCATCCTTTCTCTAGAGCATTCTGAAATCCAAAGACTCTCCTACTTGGTGTTCTAATTTGTTATTAATCAGTCTCTCCTAGCCTATTGCTGACACTGTTGCCCATTATTTTCATTCCTTACACATTTCACTGCATTTCAGTACAAATCTCATCCCTTCAGCATGCCAGGGCCAGGGGAGTTAAGAGGTTGCTGCCATGAAGCAGCCTATTTTTCAGAAATAGGAACAGAAACTGGGAGGTGATGTGTCGTCAGGAGCAAACTCCTGGGACTTTAGACAGAAGCACCCTTCATTCCTCTCACAAGAGCCTGGTCTGTGTACTGAAGTGAGTGGCATTCCCCATCTCCTCCCTCACTAAAGACAGGGCCAACCTGAAAATAGCCTCCCAGGATTCCTCTTGTGGGGCTGAGGGCCTGAATGCCCAGACTGCTGGTCAGATGAGGACCCTGGGGGACAGTGCAGGTGTACGTGCGTCCCCTGCGTGTGTGCCCAGAAACAGATGTGGATGACCCATCTCCTGAGGACCAGCCAGCCAGGGTTCCATAGAGATGGGAATCACATTTAACACAAGTGTGCCATTTACCTAGTCTCTTTATAAAGAAACCTTTTAATGGAAAAATGTTATATACCCTGCGCTAAAGCTTCTTCATAAATAGCTGGATGTCTGTTTCTCTCTCTGTGCCTTGGTTCTTTGCACATACACTGTGCCCTGCCCTGAGGGGCGTGGGTAGAGGTTTGTTCCTTTCTAGAAGAGTGACCTTTCTCAATCCTTGCCTTTGACCACAGAGCTCTGGGTCTCCTTTCTCTGTAGTAGTCATGGCTCTCTCTCTGCCATCAGCAGGTCTTTCCTCCACACCCTGACCTTCATTCACTCCTCTGCGGACCAGAGAAGAAGAGGGTGTGTGAATCTAGTCCTCAGGGAACCACAGTCTGAGCTGCCCCATCTGTCAGAGCCGCCTGCCTGTCTGTGACTGGGGGCTCCCAGCATGTGTTACCCGTACTTTTGGTGCTGTTTATGAACACAGGACCAGAGCTGCTTTAGAAATGCCTTGTTACCTATGTCTGTCTTAGGTGGGCAGCAGCAGGGGATGGACCTGTACTCCTGGCCAGAAATAATTGCATTTGGGTAGCACTTCCCAGAGTGTGATGAAACACGTGGGCTGTAGCCTTGGGATTTATGCAGCAGGACCACACACAGCAGCCATAGAGACCATTACATGAGTGTCAGAAGGGCGGGGGCGTGGGGGGGGGAGCAGGAGAGTGCAGCCAGGAGCTGGGGCCCGCCCCTCTCCATGGTCCCACCCTGCTGGGTCCAGCCAGCACTGCCCAGTCCTCATCTTGAATCACAGTGAGCAGCAGATTGGACAGCTAGGTCTGCTGTGTCAGCCCAGGGAGCTGGGGATCTGTGCTATAATGGCCACTTGACTAATTTGTGACATTACTAAGCTGATGGGCTCTAACTCTGGGAGGAAAAGAGTGCTCCAGCCTCCAGGCTCCCATTTGTTCCTGGAGGCTGCAGAGGGTGGGAGTGTTTCTCTGGCATCCCTGCCCCAGCTTCTCAGGTAGCAGCCAGCCTCTCTGCATGTGAAAGCAGCTGTCCTCACTGTGCCCTGTGTTGCTTCTGAACCATGGGGTTTAGAAGTGATTCGCGAGCACGCTGCCACCATCCTGGTGACTTTGGCCCCCGCAAATCCAACCAGCATTTGAGCTATCAGGCCACAGCTATGCTAGGCCCAGGCAGAGGCTGATGCTCAGCTCAGCAGGCCAGAGAGGCTCTCCTCCTCCTCGTGTACAGAAACAGACCCG